TTTTTTTATTTTGACAGAGTCTCACTCTATTACGTAGGTTAGAGTGCAGTGGCATGATCATAACCTGTAACCTTGAACTCTTGGCTCAGGCAATCCTCCCACCTCAGCCTCCTGAGTAGCTAGGGCGACCAGTGCATGCCACCATGCCTGGCTAATTTTTAAAAAATGTTTAAAAATTAGAGACAGTATCTGACTATGTTGCCCAGGCTGGTCTTGAACCCCTGGGCTAAAGTGATCCTTCTGCCTCGGCCTCCCGAAGTGCTGGATTACAGGCATGAACCACTGCACCTGGCCCATTTAAACAATTTTAATTCATGTTGTTTGTGCTTTTACAGTGTGCCAGACAATGAATAGAATCAAAATAAAATGAACATAGCTAGCACTTTTTTCACAGTGCATTTGTCCTGCCCTGTGGTGTCTGGCTATTTATTTTAATCAGAATCAGAATTTGGCTTTCCATGTGTGTTTTAAGGGAGGTTGGATGTAGAAACATGATTCTACATGTGTCTGGAGCCAGGCTCCTAGGCTTTCCTCATTTATTACCAGTATCTCACTATTAAAATTTCTTTTTTTTTTTTTATCAGAATGCTTTCACATATTTCTTCTTATTATACCTTTATAATACTGTGTAGATAAATTGTACTCATATTTTAAAGTTGCACACATACAAAAAACCCCTTACATACTTGAGATTTCAGGGACTCAATAATATACCATACAAGCAGTTATTGTATGACAGTGTGGGTATAGGTAACATTTTGACAAAAAAGAAACTTCAGTTTTTCTAGGAAGAGGAGGTCTAGGACATATTGGACATGGCAGTCCAAGGTTGAGACAGGATCCACTGATGACCTTTTTGTCCAATTATAGGAGAAGGTTGACAGGAAAGCTTCCAGTAATCCTGACCTTCATTTGAACAGGGCGACGGTAAGACCTCTGGGGTGGTAGTCATCTGAAGGTCAAATAAAGGAGACATCTAGGCCTTAGCCTGTGAGCATAACTGAGTATACATAGAGAGAAGGATGGGTCCAACCTGTAAGAGGAAAGCCACGTTATTTCTAGGAAGAGCTAGCTCAGTTTGACTCCAGTGTCCAGTAGGGTCACCAGAGGGAGAGTAGCAGGGGCTGAGGAGGTGGGAGAGTACGTAGAGAGTGGGGGGATGGTTTAGAAGGCTTCTAAAATTTTACATATAAATATAAAGATAGAGTGACCCAATATATGCAGCTTAACTATTTTAGAATTTGGAAATTAGCTGCTTTGAAATAATTCCGTCTTTGGGGTTGTGATCACCATGGTTAGGAGGAAGGATGTAAGGTGTTACCTGCTCTTCAGGCTGTTCATGGTAGGACAGGAAAATAACTGGGAAATAAAGCGGTTTATTTTTCTAGATTCCTAGCTCATTGTGCCATTATTCCCTTGGCATGGTTTTTTGGATATACTTATGATTGGGAGGTTTTTGGTTACTTCCTGTACAGTTACATAAATATGAAGAGAATTATGGGGAGGCCCTGGAGGGCTTCTCTCAGGCTGCAGCCCTGGACCCTGCCTGGCCAGAGCCCCGGCAACGAGAGCAACAACTCCTGGAATTCTTGGATAGACTAACCAGTCTCCTTGAGAGCAAGGTAAAGATGTCTAAAGGGCTGAATCCTACTCTTTTATTCTGTTACTGGTCAATAAAATAAAAATAGAATAGGCTTAGGAGATAGTGACCCTATAAAAGTGGGTAGGTAGGAGGGAAAGACTAGATTCTCAAGGAGGGGGACTAATTTCTAGCTTCTTACCCATTTCCCCTTCCTTTGCAGGGAAAGATGAAGACCAAAAAGCTGCAGAGCATGTTGGGAAACTTGCGCCCAGCCCATCTAGGCCCTTGTGGTGACGGGCGCTATCAGTCAGCCTCTGGGCAAAAGGTGACGCTGGAACTCAAGCCACTGAATTTGCTGCAGCCTGGTGTGAACAGTGGTGCTGTGGTCCTGGGAAAGGTGGTGTTTAGCCTTACCATGGAGGAGAAAGTCCCCTTGTGAGTTTCTATTGCCTTTCCTATTTTTCACCCTTCTGAACTAGGCTCTCACTGCCTGGTCTTTCTCTGGCAGTTGAGGACATTGTTAGTGGTCACAGATTAGTGTCTTCTGATTCCCTTCTGTGACTGTCCCATGAGTAGTTATTGGCTAGGTGATGTCTAATAACCTCTTGATCAGAGGCTTTGTAGATTCTACCACTGCCCATTTTTCCCCCTGAGTTTGGTGGTATGTGGATTTCTACATCCATAGCTGAAATTTGACAGGACATGTTTTTTTATAAGAAGGTAACCTTGAAATTTTCCTATGCCTTTGTGTTTTCATGATTATAGAAGTTGGAGGAGGACAAATTCTTAGTCTTGTTTGGATTTAGGTATGCTTAGGCAGTTGTGGAAAGTGGGCTTTGAGTTCGAATTTAAGGCCTGGTTGGGAGATTGTCTCAGACGTCTTTCAACAAATAGTTATTGAGCATCTAATACATGTGCTGTAGGGAGTGAGGGAAAGAAAAAGAAACATAAAGGACCCAGGCAAACGGTGCTCACAATCAGCAGAGGAGATGAATTAAGAATATTCACTTAGAGAGTTTTTAGATTTTGAAAAATTAGCGTTTAGTGAATGCCATCACTCCTTGGTCCTTTACTCACTTCCTAGTCCCTGGTTGACTGGTCTACCTTTTTTTCCCCCACTACTGAAGTTGTTTTTTTCCTAGGATCACCAGTGTTTCTCTAGGCAACTGATCCAGTGGCTTCCACTACATGGATCCATAACATTCTGACCTGTCTCTCAGTATTGCCTTTCATATCCCTTCTGTTCCATTCAAACTGAAATAGTCACAATTCCCATTGTGTGTCTGAACTTTCTCCATGGTATTTTCTAGAGGTATGTGTATTTGATGAGTTGAAGAGCAAGAATATAGTTGAGAAAAGTTTACTTAACTAGAGCAGACCCGAGAGCTGAGAGGAATGAGAAAGGGATATAGACAAAGGTAGCTTTTAGGGGACCTTGGGAACAAGTAAATACTTTGTCACTCCGTGGTTTCTCTTTTTCTGCCCAACTTCTAAATGTTAGGTTCCTAGGACTCTGTTTTTGTTCCTTTCTTCTTTTCTCTGTATACCAGTTTGGCATATAGTTGCCAACTTTGATCACTTGTCAGTGGTTGCCTGACATACTATGTGGAAGGATTCTTAGGCTTTGACTGGGTTCGTCAGCAGAGTGCTATGCTTGATTATAGTGTTTCCTGTGAATTCAGGTGTGCCAAGTGCTGGCATGAGCACTTCACCATCTCATCTATAGATCATCCTGCTTGGTGATGTCATATAAACCCAGGGCTTTGCTTTGGCTGCCTCCTCTACGCTCACAGGTATATCTCTAGCCCAGGCCTCATTTCCAAGTTTTGGATCCATATATCCAACTGCTGCTAGGCTCCAATCAGAAATCTCTAACTCAGTATATTCAAAATGTTCACCTTTCCTTTCTTTGTAAACCTGTTTCTCCTCCTTGGATTCCCTGTTAATGAATGGTACTTCTTCTCCACTCAGTCAGTTAAGACTTCTGGAAGTTGTTCTAGACTTCTCCATCCTCCTGCATCGAAGCAATCACGAAGTCCTATATGTTTGCCTTTTTGTCCCTCCTTCTCTGTCTCTACTACATTAATTCAGCTCCTTATCATTTCTCCAAACAGGTCTCCCTGACTCCCTAGTTTTCCTCCAGTGTTCCACAGTGCTGCCAGAGAAATGTTTCTCGGATATAAATCCAACCATTGCCCTTTCTTATTTAAAATCTCTTACTGGTACTGAGTATTTATTTTGGGATAGAGTTTGAACTCCTTGTCTTTGCTTAGCATTCAAAGTCCTTCATGATTTGTTCCCTGCCTCTCTTTTCATTATCTTCTGTCACTTTCCCACATGTACCTTTTGTTCCAACCATGAGACTGTTTTGTATGTTTCAAAGAGCAGCTATTTTCATGCCTCTGTGCCTTACATATAATTACTTTGCCTGGATAAGCCTCCTGCTTTTGATGTAGCTAACTTTTCACCTCAACATTTTGTTATTAAAATTTTCAAACATATAGCAAAGTTGAAAGAATATTACAGTGAACATCTATATACTCAACCACTTATATTCTACCATTAACATTTTACTAATGTCATATATCTGTCTATCCTGCTGTCAAAGCAAATTACAGAGATCAGTATACTTTCCTCTAAATACTTTAACATGTAATCATTAATTGAGTTCAGTATTTGTTTATAAGTTTTTCAGTGTAAAATTTACATACAGTGAAATGTATAAATCTAAGTGTATATTTCTTAAGTTTTGACAAATGCATATATCTCTATAAACCAACACCCCCATCAAGATATAGATCATTACCTTCACCCCAGGAAGTCCCCTTATGCTCTTTCAAAGTCAGTCTCTGTTTCTGTCCCCCTCAGAGTTTAATTTCCACTGAGGCTTAGTTTTCCTGTTTTAACCCAGCTAATTTTTCATCCTTTAAGATTCACTTTGGGCCGGGCGCGGTGGCTCACGCCTGTAATCCTAGCACTGTGGGAGGCCGAGGCGGGAGAATTGCTTGAGCTCAGGAGTTCGAGACCAGCCTGAGCAAGAGCGAGACCCCGTCTCTACTTAAAATAAAAAGAAATTGGCCAAACAACTTAAAATAGAAAAAATTAGCCTGGCATGGTGACGTGTGCCTGTAGTCCCAGCTACCCGGGAGGCTGAGGCAGGAGGATCGCTTGAGCCCAGGAGTTTGAGGTTGCTGTGAGCTAGGCTGAT